CGGGTAGTTTTAGCAATGTGGTCTAAAAAGTCAGATGATCATCAATCATAACTCCAAGGTTTCTGGCTGTTTTTGAAGGAGTTATGGTTGATGTGCCTAACTGGTGGATGGGAATATGCATAGAAATGATATGCAGATGAGGTTATGCATAGTAAAACTAGGCATTGTAAGCTCCATATATGGTGATTTCGGGGAGGAGTCGGGGTGGAGATGCACGTACGCACAATCTTTATATTTATATATATTTAGATTTATAAAAGGATTTTTGTGCAGGTTCTGGCGTACGCATGGTTTTATAAATCTGAAAACTTTTGAGCGTACGCAAAATCTAGCTTTTGTGCCTACGTAAACTTTTAGGATGAAATCTACGGAGAGTATTATAAATGAGACCCCTGATCTTCTTGATGTTGAATTAAGCAAATCTGCATGACCGGGTAGTTTTAGCAATGTGGTCTAAAAAGTCAGATGATCATCAATCATAACTCCAAGGTTTCTGGCTGTTTTTGAAGGAGTTATGGTTGATGTGCCTAACTGGATGGTGAAATTGTGAAACAATGGGTTTGATGGAACCACAAGCAGTTCTGTCTTGGCAAGGTTGAGTTGAAGGTGATGGTCCTTCCTCCAGCAAGAAATGTCTGTTAGACAAGCTGAGATGTGAGCAGTTATCGTCGGATCATCGGAATGGAATGACAGGTAGAGTTGAGTGTCATCAGCATAGCAGTGATATGAAAAGCCATATTTCTGAATGACAGAACCTAGTGATGCCATGTAGACAGAGAAGAAAAGTGGTCCAAGAACTGAGCCCTGAGGCACCCCAGTAGTTAGATGTTGCGACTTGGACACCTCACCTCTCCAAGATACCTTGAAGGACCTAGCTGAGAAGTAAGACTCAAACCACTGGAGTGCGGTTCCTGAGATGCCCTTTGCCAATAGGGTTGACAGGAGGATCTGGTGGTTAACCGTGTCAAAAACAGCGGACAGATCCAGCAAGATAAGTATAGAAGATTTGGAATTTACTAATTTAATTCATTTAATTTACAAATTTACTGTATATCACATAGTTTAATCATTCATGAATGAACAAACTTAATTAAGGTGACGGTGACAGCAACAAATCTTAACTTAACAAAATAAATCGAAAACACCCTAATTTATATAACCATGTCAAAACATAGTACATTGGTTCATTTATATGAACCATCGCCCAATGCATTTTAGTTAGTTACTCCCCTACACTGGTATTCTGTTTGTGTGTGTTTTATGCAGTTTTAGAGAAAGACATAAGAGTGAGATCTGCCATCATATATGTCTTTCTGTCTCTCACAAACACACACACACACACAGAACACACAGAAAAATACAATCGCACAAAATGTCACTTGTTTGATGTCACTGCTACAACCTGTGCCCCTTAAACTTTAAAATTAAAGGTCCTCCACTCACCAAAAGGGCACATGAAGCAGCTCCTCTGGCATTTATCCATAGCTGCATGTCTGTCTTTTAATATAATACTTCATAAAAGTATTCCTCAACACAGGCTCATTGCAAAAATGTGCCTGGTAAATATTACGTAATTGCTTCTTAATTATTACGTAATTGTTTTCATGACACTTTCAAAGTTAAATGATATTGTTTTTATTATGTTTCTTGTAATGTATATTGTGGCAATTCAGAAATGAAATGTCCATTGAGACATTTCAGCTGGAAACTGCAGTTAATAGGTTCAGTTTTGAAGTTATCCAAAAATGTAGGTAGATGCATGTTTTTCCAATGAGCCTAGGTTAATATTCCAACTCAGGTTCGGCAAACTGGGTTTATACTTTTCATTTTAATCTGTTTCCAATTAAATTGTTTAAGTCGCACAAATGTGTATTCATGTATTCATCTTGCTACTTTAGTGAAAATAGCACAAAACTTGCAGTGATTAATTTCCTGCCCCTTCCAAAAACTGAAAAGACTCGTGATAAATGTATGGTAATTGCAGGCCTTTGTTTGATGGTCTCATTGTATAAACCTGTTCTGTGTTTCACAGTTCATTCAAAGCTCCATTCCACAGTGTGGACTGATTTAGATTATGGAAATGTTTTCTTTTGTTTTTCTCTCAGATTCAAATGCTTTGCTTTTTCCATTTGTGTCTCTCTCCATATTCTTTCCTCATCTCTTCTGTCTCTCTCACTCTATTGTGTGAGGCATGAGAACACATATATATAAGCTCTCTAAAAAGATCAATGTTACATCCCAGTCACAATAGCATTGATTATCTTGTGCTCTCTCTCATGCTTCTCTGATATTGGTGTGTGTGTGTGTGTGTGTGTGTTTTGAACTTTTGCTTGAGTTTGGTAGACTGTCCTGTTATTATCCTGCTATCATTAACCTCATGGCATTTATCAAAACACCTTAATAGCACCACAAAATGTCACTGGGCAAAATAAAAAAATCTTATGAGACACGTAATTGTGTCTCTGTGTGCTTAAAGTAGATTCCTGGGGTGTGTAAGTCCATTTGAGGGGATGTTGTGCATCACAGGCATGTGTCATGAGCAAATATCAAGTTGTCTCAAGGGTTTTGATCCCCTGCATCCATTTTTGAACATGAAGAAATTTATCCACGAAACCTTTTTAACGATTTACCTACCACTGTTTTGCAGTCAGCGTACACTTAATGTAAATTAGCACAGGCTTTAAGTAGCCTATTACTTCTAAATTATGTAACTTGATAACATTATAAGTGGGCCTCAGAAAACAGTACAAAATAAAAAAATGGAGGCAGTTCATGACCCCTACACAATGTCAGTGTTAACCACAATACCCACCCAATACCAACTTAGCATACACTTATATAAAGAACAACTTTATATAAACTAACTATTTTTTCCACTTTGGTCTTGATTTATCTCAACTAGGACACCAAATGAGTACTTATTAAGTGATTAGTGTGAACGCAAGAGTCTATCTAGAATGTTCTGCCTGGACTTTTGGCATTCTGAGGCCAAGGCACACCATCTGCCACACACACACACACACACACACACACACTCAAATACATACAACAACAATCTCACACTCTTACAGCCAGTCTCTCTCTAGCTGCAGTGCAGCTGCAGTCTGTTTTTAGCAGTTTGGTCTGCCAGATACAGAGAATAGGGAAGAAAAAGAGAGGGAGGCAGGCCAACAGGTGGAGAAGAAAGGTGGGAGAAATGTGAGGAGGAAAACAAGGTGACTGAAGAAAAAGGAAATGGGAGAGGTTCTGTGTTCCGCTGCCTAGCAACCAGCATTGTTCCATCTGGGGGGATGTTGCAATTTTACTGCAAAGACCAGATTACATCGTGTCAGGTTCAAGTGATTGTCCCACATACACACATACACAATATCTGTGCAGATAGACTTTCACTGAGACTACTTCTCTTACAAATACGTGCTAAAACAAACAGACGTGTGTGTGTGTGAGTGAGTGAGTGTGCACAGAAATGATCGATGCTGCACACAGATCAGACACACAGGGATCACTTGGCTGTAATTAGTCTGTGATTGTGTGTGCAGCTGCTTTTGCATTCATATTGAAGGGTTTTCATGTAAACAAATTCATCTGTGTGCATCTGTGTTGAGCAGACTAGCTATATGCTGCCTTGTCTCTCTTGTGTCTTTTTATGAACACCTCTACAGCACTCTCAGACCTCTTAGGTTGTGGCTTAGCCATTTGTTTAAAAATAAGAACTGAAGACAGTTTAATAAAGAGATTCATCCAAAGAGGGTGAAAAAGAGAGTGAGAGAAAAAGACAGTGGGGCCCAGAAGTTCACCAAAAAAAAAAAGTAATTAAAAATCCATTTTAGTTTTAGGATTTTGAAAAACGTAAAGAAACTATGTGCACAATAGATGCAGTTATCAGTGTTAAAATGTTTGAGATGGCTAATTAAATCAAACAAAGCAGGGAATGACATTTATTTGAAGCGAAAATTATTCCAGCACTACACATCAGCCAGTGGTTTAAGAAGTTATGTGTTTTATTTTATTTTATGTCAGTTTATGATAAAATAAAACATCATGGGCCAGATTTTCAAAGAGTTTTCATCAGTGCAAACCATTGTTTGGCATTAAAAAAATAAAGAAACAGTGAAACATTAGTAATGAAAGGTGTGGACAGTCATTTTTGCAGCTAACCTTATGCATATCCGAGTGCAAAATTTATGGAAGAGGAATATTTAGGAAGGTTATTTACTAAGGTTTGAGGTTGTAAATTTACTAATATTTGTCCATTATTTAACACACCAGAAAAGTATGTCTTAACCCATCTTGTGCCTGTGTTTTTAGTAGATTAAACACGATTTTCAGCTCTACACCAGTTTGCACTGCTCTTGGTAAATTGTGTTGGTTGGGATTTTTTTATTTTTTTTAGTTTTTGAAAGATGTCTCACCAAGGCTGTATTTATTTAATAAAAAAAAGTATAGTAATATTGTGCTTTTTTTGTTTCCTTTTTATTTTAATATATTTAAAAATGTAATTTATAGTAATTTATCCCTGTGATGGCAAAGCTGACGTTTCAGCAGTCATTACTCTCGCCTTCAGTGTCAAATGATCCTTCAGAAATCAGTGTAATATACTGATAAACATTTCCTATTATTATCAATATAGAAAACAGTTATGCTGCTTAATATTTTTGTGAAAACACTGATACAAAAAACAGCATTTATTTGTAATAGAAATATTTTGTAACAGATGTAAAAGTCTTTACTGTCTTTACTTTGATCAGTGTAATGCATCCTTGCTGAAAAAAAAAGATAATAAAAAATAAAACAAAATCTTACTGACCCCAAACTTATGAACGCTAGTAAGCATATTAGAATGATATATTTAAAAAAGTACAATTCCAGGACAGTTTCTCAAATTTTTATGCTGATAATATAATTAGCAATAATACCCTATTGTTTAGCTGTACTCTGTAATGTCTTCCACATAACGCAGGTGGTCTCACATTCATGGCATATCTTGTCTTTCTCCTCAGCTCATCTCCAGTGATGCAGACGGGGCCATACAGAGAGCTGGGCGATTCAGAGTGGAGAATGGTTCAATAGATGAGGTAAGATACTGAAATATTGTACAGTCTGAAATGTGTGTGTGCGCATTGTATATAATGGATTGTAATAGACTCGAAAGTGGCTAGAGGTTAAACAGCCCTACAATTATTGTTCTTTTGACCATGGAGAGATTCAACAAGGTTTTGAACTCATTCGCTTGCATACTGATGGCTGCGGGTTCAAGTCAGTGCAGCATTGCTGGCACGGGGGTGATGCAATGTATGTAAATACATGCGTAAGAAGTGAAGGTGGACAGGAAGAGGAGCACAGATTAAAAGAAGTGGGAGGAAGGATGAAGAAAGGAGAGAGAACAGATGTATTCATCTGGCAGTAAGCAAAAAAATCAAAACTGCCAGCTTTTGTGTTTTGTGAGCATGTCTGTAGGTGTTTCAATGAAACACACATGCATCAGCAAAAACAACAATCGAAGCCAAATTATTCAATCAGTTCCCAATGTTCTTGCTCTCCTTTTCTCCCTCCATCCACTTGTCCTTTTCATTTCAAGCACCAGACTGTAGCTATGACAACCTCCAATGCTTTATCCCACCAAAACAGACCTCTGATTGGTTGTTAATGACTTAGGCTGGACTGTCACCATAGTGATTAGGGTTCTTTTGAGTATATAGGGAGGCTGTTGTTTACGTTGAGTTGTTTACAATTTGTCAGCGTGAAAATATCAATTGGAATTTGTGCTGGAACATGATGGCATTTATTACTGGGTGAGCAGAGGTGTACCAGACATGTTTGTGTTCGCATGTATGTGTGTGCCTTACAACAAAACAATAAAAAAGTATTAGAGTTTCAGGCTAGTTGACAAAACAGTCACTTGCCCTTTTGAGCCAGTGTTGCTTTGCAGCTGAAATTTTACACTTCATCCATTTTTCTGCATTTTGGACATAAAGGTTTGTATTTTATGACCTATACTATCTTTAGGGTGCCTATAAAACCTCTTTTTCTGGACATGCCTTAGCTGGTTGGGATTTCTAAATTACCTAAAATGTCTGGGTTTTGGCTTTGTTTGCCTATTTTTTTTTCATAGTTTGACCAATAGAGTGCAGGCATTAGCTGCGTTTCCATTACAGATTTGCACAAAACGTTTGCGATATTTACTGTATAAATGTCGATTAAAAAAACTATTGCAAAATGATGGAGTTTCCAATAGCCTAACCGATGTTATGCAACTAAAGCGTAATTTTTTACTCTTGCATGAAGTCATGACAACGGATGTTGGTAGGTTTACATATATCAAAGCCACCGCACTAGCCATTATTTTTAATCGAATAAGACATACAGTAGGCGTGTATTTTTAGCAAAGCAGCGCGGAGAGTCGCTTCTGGAACGTGCCACGGAGAGGCTGGTATAAATGCAAGCATTAACTACAGTGCCCGCGATCAAATCCGGTGGCCGTGTCGGAGCCGTAATGTGCCACAGACGTGTGCAGTATAAATAAGGGGTTATCCAAGCAGTAATGGCAAGGAAAGCCCCTTATAATTGAGAGGTGTTTCTTCAGGTTATAGTACATTAAAGAATGATCATTTGAGTTTTACGTATACGCCAGGTGACCTGTAAATGCAAAAAAAACTGTTTTCCATTTTTTTTCCTTTTTTTTTTATTCAAATTGAAAAACCACCTCATATGAGCGTAAATATATTTTGCAATATATGGGAGTTTTTGCGAAATTAATGTGTTTCCATTGAGCGTGTTTTCAATTCGCAATTTCAGGTTGCGCAATTGACCAATCATGGCGTGCGAGACCTACAGAGAATGATCAAACAATGCACAAATACGCCTACATATAATGTATGGGAACCCTACGGAGCATGTCAATAGGGTAACAAAGCCAAAACCCAGACATTTTAGGCAACATAGAAATCCTGGCCAGAACATGTCCAGGAAAAAGATGATGCATTCTCACCCTATTGTTTGTTGCAATTTTTGTTGGTTGTCTCCAAGATAATATTATCTAGCTGACTAACATAGAGATTTTATATATTAAATATAAAAGTATATTTATATATATATTAAACATAAATATTTCTATATACTGTATATTTAAAAAATCTGATTGATCTTGGTTAAATTCTTGGGGGACGTTTTTGTAGGCCTCTGACTACATGCCTGGAACATGGAGGCGAACTGACGTCCATTTGGAGAACCCAGAGTATCACACCAGATGGTACTTCAAGTACTTCCTGGGAAAAGGTAGGATTCCACTGCCAAGTATAGAATATGCACACACACACACACACACACACACACAAACTTGCAAATGATCTTGTATACACATACTGTACATGCACACATATCCATGTTGGGATGTGATTTCTTTTTACTCAGCAGAGCATAATGAAGAGAATAACACTAATTTGAGTCTATGGAAAATAAAAACTTGAATTACATAGGGAATAACTGAACAGTTTGAGAATAGTCAAAGTAGGGTTGGAAATTGAGTTCTTATTAAGAACCAATTCCATTTTACCATACCATTTACCAGCTATATGCTTCATCACTCTTTTTTCTTGTCTTTCTTTATCTCCCTTCCTCACACAAAAACAAACACTGTTGTTCCCACACGTTTTGAGGCAGATGCTGCATTGTCTTTTTAATTGATTTAAATCACTGCAAATACCTTTCATTCAATGAGAGGGTGATTGAATGAGAGAGGGGGAGAGAGACCAAATATGCTTCAGAGGAAGGGTGGAGATACAGAGACAGACCAGATATTGTCTTCTAATTGGATTTCAGCCTCTTTTCATTTGTCTTCTGTCTGTAAACCTGGTCTGTCTCAGTCCAAAATATTCTCCTCAAACAGCAGGCTTCAATCCCTGCCTTCCTCTTATAATATATACAGTATACACACATATATTATGTAAACAAAAACTGTTTGACATCACTAATATATATATATATATATTAGTGCTGTCAAACGATTAATCGCATATATATATCACAGTATTACTGTTTTTTACTGTGTTTTTGATAAATGCAGCCATGGTGAGAGACTTCTTTCAAAAAAAAAATCTTACTGAACTTTTTGATATCTGACATCTGTAAAGTATTTTAACATTGAGTGTTCAAGTACATCCCATTTAAACCAAATAGCAATGTGCATTTAATAGCTACTGAAATAAAAAGCAGAGGCAGTGACTCTCCCTTCATTCTTCATTCTGTAGTTCATCAAAACTACGTGGGGACGGATGCAGAGAAGAATCCCTTCTTCCTGTCTGTGGTTCTGTCAGACCAGAACAACCAGAGGGTCCCACAGTATCGAGCCATCCTGTGGCGCAAGACGGTGAGTCAACCAGTGACAGGTAACAGCATGTGTGTGCATCACTTTTGCTCTGTGCAGTGACTCACATAACAGATTGACCTCTTCATGAAGCGACTCTACATTGTTTGGCTCTGTTGTCTCAAAGGTATTAAATGTCACTTTCCTATGAGCAACAAGTTCTTGGTTATAAAACCCTGTGTCGTAGCCTCCAGCAATACTGTCATGTTATGCCATGTCATATTTCGCTTCATATTCGTATAATTTGCGAAATGTGTCCTTCTCCTTTAGGGTACTCTAAAAATCAGCCTTCCATACAGTCCGACAAAAACACTATCAGTCAAATCTATATTAAGGTAAGTCTGTTTATAATGCATCCTGCTTGCCAATAAACAAATGCACATGCGAACATTTAATTTGAGTGAAATAGATTAAAATGCATTGCATTCATGTGACCTTTTTGCCCTCCAGTGCCATGAACGTGGATCGTTTTGAAAAGGGCCCGAGGGAAATCCTTAACCCAGAGATTCAGAAGGTGCCCACCCACACCTGTCAATCAACATCACATGTTGTCTGCTCTGTTAATTACTGTCTGTTTCTGCTCTGGTTTGTTGTTCTGCTTCATAATCATTCAAACGCAAGCGCTGTGTGAGCTGCTGTTGCTCCCGAGAGCTTTGCCTTTGTGGAAATGTGTGCCACTAATCAAAGGCCATTGTCAGCAGCATTCAGATATTTGAATGCATGAACACGCTTTCTGTAATGTTTGTGTAACCCACACTATTAGTGCTCCTAACTGGTGTTTAGAAATGTAACCTCGTTGGAAACGGAATTATTTATTGTACTGAGATATAATTCATTTTTTGAACTGGTTTTTCTATTATTGTTGGCAGGACTTACTGGTGCTGGAGGAGCAAGAGGTGTGTACTGTCAAATGTGTGTATGTGTTTGATTTTTGTATGCAATGCGAATAAATGACCTTCTTAATGATTTCTGTATCAGTTTGTTAATTAATTCCTAATGTATGCTCATCACATATGTTTGTATGTTCTCACAGGGCAGTGTGAACTTTAAATTTGGTGTTCTTTATGCCAAAGATGGACAGTTGACAGATGATGAAATGTTCAGCAATGGTGAGCACAGAACCACTCATAATATGCTCATAATACTAAATATTTAGTTTGTTCCCTTTCTACTGTCAATATTTGTGCTATATATGCACACTGTTAAATAATAATTACCAATAGCCAAATAGATGTGATTCTATAGATTCTATTTAAATGTTGTTTCAATCAGAAATATACCATATTAAGAATGTACAATGCAATTAATTATAATTCACATTCATTTTAGAATATGCATGTGAACAGCATAAGGTGGCTCCCTTGATGTTTGTTAAATTTATTAATGCTCTGTGTTCATGTTGTTGTTTTTTTTGTTTGTTTGTTTTACTTTTTCTTCCCCCCCCCCTTCCCCCCAGAATCAGGAAGTGAGAATTTTAATATATTTCTGAATCTCCTTGGTGACACGATCTGTCTGCAGGGCTGGGCAGGGTATCGAGGAGGACTGGACACTAAGAGTAGGACAAAAAAACAAACAAACACGTCTTTACAGATCAACAGAGGAATTTCTTTTTCCTTTCAAGTGAATTTTGCTTATTCATGTTCTCTCTTTATCTGTTTAGACGACACTACAGGAATAAATTCCATCTACACAGTCTATCAGGGTCATGAGCTCATGTTCCATGTTTCCACCATGTTACCTTATTCTAAAGAGAACAAGCAACAGGTAAGATAAAGAACACATAAGCTATAAGATGCACAGTATATTTGTACCATATTGTTTATTTTTCTTTTTATTTACACTACCATTCAAAAGTTTGTGGTCTTTTATTGTCCATTATAATGTTGTGCCTAAATTCACTTGTCGCATTTAAAATGGCTAATTTTACTTTTTAATGTTTTGATTTGAATTTATTTAGACAATATAGTATAGAATTTTAATATGCCATTTACCAACCATGACAATATTTATCAGGTTTTCGTATTATCAGTATCATTATCAGCCCATTCCCAATATGAGCACTATCCAAACGGGATTTTCAAAAACCAGTTGTATCTGAATAAGACTTTAGTCACACACACACACACACACACATCCATGTAAAACTATAAACAGAATAAGAGAAAGACAAATAGAGAGCAGAGGACACAGACAGAGAGGAGGAATGAAAGAGAAATTTGAATGATAGCAAAAGAGAAGGGAGCTGCGTGTGTTTGTTGAGGCAGAAAGGAGGCAGTCTGTAGCTCAGTAGGTGGTGAGGGGAAAACAGGCTATATTTAACATCCAAAAGCGCTGGACATCACAGCGGTCAGTCTCTCCCTCTCTTTTCTCTGCTGCCTTTCCCCCTTCCCCCCTCAGCTCCATATCCTGATTACATCAAGCGTCAATCACTACACTCTCTCTCACTTCATATCCTTCTCTTCTCTTGATTATATCACACACAGCAATCCATCTTTCTTTCTCTCTCTCTCTCTCTTCAATTCAATTCAAGTTTATTTGTACAGCGCTTTTTCACGATACGTCTCTCTCTCTCTCTCTCTCTCTCTCGCTCTCTCCCCTTCTGTTTCTCACTTTTTCTATCAGATCATATGTCTGATTGAGTACAAGTAGTGCTCTTGTGCACTGGAGTGCTTGTGGAAACATTCACAATAGCAGGATTTTCAAAGTATTTGTCGGTTCAATGTCTTGGCACTCTACAGCCGAGAGCCTCTTCAGCCCTTCGTGTCAATAACCACCTTTTTACCAATGCTGAACCGCTCATGAAAAGAGTAGGAAAGCTGATGCGCTCCAAAAGTCTCTTGCCGACCCCTAAAAGCATGCAGACAAACCAAACAGTCGGAAGACTCAGAAATCAAGTAGAGTTCACAAGGGAGAGCGAGTCTTTTCTTGAAAGAAAACTCTTTTTAAAGGGAAAGTTCACACACACGGAAATTCAGTTATCATTTTCTCACCCTCATGTCGTTCCAAACCCAAATGAGTTTCAAATGAGTGGAACACAAAAGAAGAACCTTTACAGTTATTTCCCATTAAGGACAGTTCATAGTAACTGCATCTGTCAAGCTACAAACAGAAACTACAAACATTTTTGAATGTGTAAATAGCTGTAAATCATAAGATATTTAAGTTGTTATTTACTGATTCAAAAATGTTGCATTGTTGCGTTTCTGTTCAAGTTGCAAAATTAAATTATGCAAATGAATTAACATTTCAAAAAACTATTTGGACATGAAGCAAGGAGTTTCCATCCCATGTGTTCAATGGAACATAATCATCACTCAGTAACCTGTGCTATGAAATTGACTTATATTGTTGAGGCTTTTGTTAAAGCAAAGCCAAATAATTGTTTTTAGGTAATTTTATTCACAATTTTGGAAATTTTATACATGTTACTGACAACAATTCCACTGTGGAATGAACAACATATGGGTTTGGAAAAACATGAGGCGTTTTTGGAGTTAACTGACTGATCCTAGAAGGCTCAACCCTGCTTGTCAGATGCTAGAAACATGTAAGAGTCAGTCATGTTGGTATTGTTTAAGTGTTACACGGTATTTCACTGGAAGTATGCTCTTGTGTAAGGAAGAGGGGAAGTGGCAGAGAATCATAATTGAGCTCTCAGTAGAAATGAATCTGTCGCTGCAATAAGTAAATACTCATTCCTGTCACAGCTCACGGTCATGCGCATGTATCTGTGTCTGGATGCGTGTGTTTGTGTGTGTGAGAGAGAAAGAGAATGAGAGAGATACTAGCTGGCGGAGAGGGGCAGGTGAAAAGCAGCCATGTAGTAATTGAGCTTTAAGGGAATGTTTTATATGTGTGTGTGTGTGTGTGTGTGTGTGTGTGTGTGTGCTCTTGAGATAAAAGATAAAAGCTCCTTTCCGACCGTAATGGTGCAGACTCATTAACAAGCTCAATTATGCTTTCTGGCTAACAGGCTTGAGATGTCAGAGGTCATATAGCAGCTTTTGAATGTCCACACATGCACACGGACCAACAAACCCACACACATAGGCATGTGCTCTTTTCAAAATGAAACATTTGTCCATCATTTGCTCAGACTGGAGAGAAAAAAGTTGGTGTAATAGTTTCAGGTAACAAAAGCAGCCTTTTAAAATGTGTTTCATGAATGCAAGATTATAGCTTTCATTATTTCAATCTGTGCAGGTAGAGAGGAAGAGACATATTGGGAACGACATTGTGACCATTGTGTTTCAGGAGGGAGATGACGCCTCTCCGTCCTTCAAACCCTCTATGATTCGCTCCCATTTCACACGTATCCTTCATCCTCAAGCTGAGTGGAAATGATGAAATGAGTCACTCAATGACAGCAATTAGGCTATTTATGGGTGATTTTTTTTTACAAGACAATGATTAAAAATACATGTAAATAAATTTGAGAAGTTTTGCACATCAAGCAATTGTATAATTTCCTTTACATAAACCACAGATATTTTTGCCTTAGTTCGATATAATAGCCAGAATGATAGTTACAGGTTTGTGTGTATATTTGAGGTTTTACTTTTTATGCATAGCATGCAAAATATATAACATTGTTCTAGTGGTTTTTGGATATTTTAATAAAAAAATCTTACATATTTTGCCTTTAAAATGTTGTTTTAATTATACATTAAATATTATTAGATTGTATATACACTACTGTTCAAAAGATTTTTTAGATTAAAGGGGTCATATGATGCTATTTTAAAGATCATTATTTTGTGTATTTGGTGTAACAGAATATGTTGACATGCTTTAATGTTCAAAAAACACATTATTTT